TCTCCTTCATTCATCTGGAAATTGCTTATTTCAAGTGCATCTCCTGCCAGCTTTTTATGTCTCAAACATTCTCTCTACTGTGATTTTCTGTAGTTATGTAATCACTTGTCTGTTTTCACGAATGACTCTTTTTATGTTCTCTTTTCCTCTAATCCTTACATGACCCTGAGGTGCTCTGGGATTCAGCTACCCACCCCCAAAACCACCAGCCCCCTGAACTGGAGACTCCCCACTGGCCCCTGGGCCCCTCCTGCTCCCCACTCTCCTGAGGTGGTTCCACGTCTCTTTCTTGGAGTCTGGAATCCTTAGCTGAGTCTTGTCGGCCCTGCTTCCCCAGGGCCTTGCACCCCTGGCCCGGTCAGTCTCTGTGTGGAGGGCGTGGACTTGCCTAGGGGCAGTGGGAGGCCTCAGGAGGATGCACTATGTGATGGGGAGCATGTTCCTTCCCAGAGGCTGCCACACGCACTCCGTGGCCTGCTTCCCTCAGACAGGTCCTCAGTGGGGTCTGGTGACTCTGCTTCCTTTCCAGAATCAGGCTTCCGCCTCATGGGGCACTGGCTGGGATCCTCAGTGGACCTTCAGGGGCCAGAGAGCTCTCTGCGGCCACACCCCCTGTCCTCACTGCTCTGGGTGACTGACCAGTCATAGACAAGCCATTGCTGGTCACAGCTGTCCCATGGCCCCAGGCCCAGAGGAGGATTTTGTCTAGCATGAACTTTGGAGGAAGGGGGCTAGGTAGTGTCTGCTGGGAAGGCAGGGCACCTGAGGTCAGAGACCAGGGTCAGTGATTTCCCTGAGTTCAACTCCCTCCACCCTTACTCAGGTCCACCCAGCCCATGTTCAGAGTTCAGAGGTGGGTGCTCCTCATAGGGGCCTCTGGGCTCCCAGCTCAGCCACGGTGAGCAGATCGGGGAAGACATCTGGGTCAGGACACTTTAGCTCTGAGACGCCACAGCATCCTCTGTATCTGGCCTCCGAAGGGCTCTACCTGACCACCCTGTGAGAATGACATCCCATCCCCTCTCTCCCTAACACCCGGAGGGCCGCAAGCTGGTGCAGCTTTGCCTAAAGGCTTAGTCACTTTGGAGCTGTGGGCCAGCCTTCATGAACTAAGGGCCCAGCCCTGAAGAAGGACACGGTCTCACTATCGCCCACCCCCGTATTTAGAAGACTTCCAGGGAAGCTGGAGGGGGGCCAGGCAGTGGCAGGGAAGGGAGGCTACCATTGTTCTCCACGTGAATATGAAGTATTAGTTTCAGTGTGGACAAGCGTGTTCAGAAATGATGAAACAGTTGGGAAACTATTTTATTGTTCTTCATGGAGTTTGATGAACTGTTTGAGAACATTCGTTCTTGGGAAGCAGGACGTGTGTGTCTGTGATAAAGATAAATATGTGGACTATCAGGAGAACAATGGAGATCTGGGAGCCCCGGAAGGAGCCTGAGTCACAGTGTCCCCCATCACCCTGGACTGTTCCAAGGGTTGAACTCTCCTGCCCCTGCCTTGGGATGAGTCTGGAATGGAGCATCCAGTGCCGAAAGAGAGGGGGTAGTTGGGGACATACATATGTAGGTGGTGGAGTTTCTAGAAAGTCAGGAAGATTTGACAAGCAGGGGTCAGAGGATGGAGGTGCTGTGGCCGAGGGAGTAGACCTGGAAGCTGGGGAGCAGGGCTAGTACCTCAGGGCCACCCAGGAGGGAACACGTCTGAGGGTGAAATTTGCTGGGTGCTTTTTCCCCACGGAATAGCTCTATCCAGCGAGTGTTGCCAAATTCCTTCCCTTCTGGGTCATCATTCTCTCAGGTGGCTCCTAACTTCTCAGCAAAGTCTCAGACAGGCAGCCTGCTTACGTGGTGAAGTATGGACAGAAGTCAGATCAGCGCTGCTGGAGGGCTATGAGCTTTAGTGGCTCGCCTGGCCTCTGTCCGGGTGACCACAGCTCATGTGGTCCTGGACGCAGCTAGCCGCAGGGACAGTGATGTTCCCTGGAGCAGTGGACAGCAGAGGACAGTATGGATGTTGCTTACTAGAAGGTACATAGTTCTCCATGAAGTCCCCAGCACCCATACAGTGCTGAGCACTGTTAACCTTAAAAATAAAACTGTCAGTTATTTTACCAGCAAAAATGGGTTTATTCTGGAATAGTAGAGAATTCAGGGACAAGCACGCTACAGCAAAACCATAGGCAAGTCCCCAGAACAAAGGGGAGAAATTCTCTTTTATGGAGGAAAGAGAGTTGGGAGGGCGGTTACAAACAAAAAGTCCATGGAAGGAAACTGGGAGCTGGAAATGGCTTCTCATGGGCTGAGCTGTGACTGTCTCTCATTGGCTGGTCTGTTGCCAACTTTTCTTCCTGTGGCTGGGATGGTAAAATAGTATCCATGCACAAGGTCCTTCTGTTCCTGTTGGATCTGCAATTGATAACCAGTGCTGGGAATGAGAGCTCCTCCTGCTGGCCTCCTGATTCTATATGGTGAACCATGTTTCCTTTTATTAATTTTCATAGCACACAGCAGTGATTCATTGAACGCCCGGATACATCTTTATGACTATCTTCACCGAATGCATATGAATAACCAATTAGCACATGAGAAGAGTTCAAAATCACAAATCACTAGAGAAATGCAAATTAAAACCATAATAAGATATTATACCACGACTAGAATGACTGAAGTTAAAAAGACTGAACTAAAAACAAAACAAAAAAAAGACTGACCTATCACATCTTGGCAGGAATATGAAGCATCTAGAAATCACATACATCGCTGGTGGGAATGAAAGATGATGCCACCAGTTTGAAAACATGGTAGCATCTTGTAAAGTTAAACATACTCTTAACATACAACCCAGAAAAGCCACTCCTGGGTATTTATCCAAGAGAAAGTGAGTAAGGGACAGGTGGGGCTAGGTAGGGAGAGATAGGGGTGGTGTATGTGGTACATGACCAGGCTCGCAGAAATCCCAGATATGGAAAAATGCTGAGGCGTAAGAAACCAGAGATAAGGGAACATAACCAGACCACCTCCTTTGTCTCAATGTCAGAGACGAGATATTTTTATTTTTATGACAGTTACAGGCTGACCATTAAAAGCTACGAAACTTCAAAGGAGAGGTAAACATGATGCTATCAGTGGTAGAAGCGTCAAGATTTCAGTTCCCTGGTCAGTTTTCAATAAAACACCGACCATAAAAGCCCTCAGTGGCAACGCACTCGGGACCCCTCTTGCTCTAGAAAGTTTTCCTTTCTGTTCTTACCTTCACTTAATAAGCTTTCACGTCACTTCACCTTTTTGTGTCCGAGAGATTCATTCTTCGGCTCTGTGAGACAAGAACCTTGCAACTGCAACAAAAGGAAAACTATGTTGGCACAGACTTTATGTGAATGCTCTCAGCAGCATTATTCATAGGTAATCAAAACTCAAAAGCAATCCAAGTATGGATAAACTGGTGAATAGATAAACACATTGTATTATGAAACACTACTCAGCTACAAAAAGGAATGACATATTAATGTATGTAGCACCATGGATGAATTTCAAAATCATTATAAGAGAAAGAATTAAACACAAAAGACTATGTAGTGTATGATTCCATTTATATGGAACTCTGGAAAAGGTAAAATAATAATGACAGAAAGCGGATCAGTGGTTGCCTGGGGCTGGGGTGAAGGAGGAGATAGATTGCAAATGAGTAGGAGGAAATATTTGAGGGAGCATGAACTGCTCTATATCTTGGTTGTGGTGGCAGTGACATAAATACATCAACCAGTATACTTAAAATAGGTGAGGCTTATCACATGTAAATAATAACCAAATATAAATTTTAAGTTAAAAAACCCCCACAGCTAGATAGATACATCATGGGCAAATTTATAAAAACCAATGATAAGAAAATCTTGAAGGCAACCAGATACATAGAACAAAGGACTAGAGCAGACTTCCCTTCAGAAACTATGTAATCCAGAAGCCAGTGGAGTAAAATCTGTAAAGTACTGAAAGAAAAAAAAAGTTAACCCGGGCTTGCATACTCTGTGAAACAATCTTTCACGTGTGAAGTTGCAATAAACACTTTCAGACAAAGGAAAGGTGACAGCACTCATCACCAGCTGACCTTTGCTAAAAGAAAGGAAGTTCTTCAGACAGAGCAACATGATGCCACATGGAAATTCGAGTCTACGCAAAGAATGAAGAACATTGAAAACGGTAAAAATAAATGTAAATAAAAGTTATAAAGATACAATTGCAAGAGCGAAATGGATGAAGGGGGTCAAAAGGTGCAAATTTCCAGTTATAAAGTAAGTAAGTCATGGGGAGATGAGGTACAGCATGGTGACCATAGTTAACAATATTCTGTTACATGTTTGAAAGTTGCTAAGAGTACACCTTAAAAGTTCTCATTACAATAAAAACTTTTTGTAACTATGGTGATGGATGTTAACTAGACTTATTGTGGTCACCATTTTGCAATATATACAAATATCAAATAATTATGTCGTACACTTGAAGCTAATGTTCCATATGTCAATTATTTGTCAATAAAAAAAGATTTAAAAATGCAGGGGCAATCAGCATCTTTTTATAAAAAAAGAACCAAAAACAGGTCACAAAGCTTCCAAATTGCTGGAAGGATTTCTGCAGTGAGCCAGTGCACGGTGGGTGGAAGACAGGTGGACGGAATCACGGACACCTGGTAGAAGAATAAGGGCGTGGCTTGGTCCCGGTTGCCAGGCGCGGGCAGGACATTCGGTCTAGATCTCGCGCGGCGAGCGCGGCGGGCAGGGGCGAAGCCGGGCGCTGCGGCGCGTCCGTTGCTAAGGCCGCGCCGCCCTGGCGACGGGCGCCGGCCGCCCCGCGCACGCGCCGTGGCCGACTCCGGTGCACTGTGGGATGGGAGCCCGAGCGGCGCGTAGAGGCCGGAGAGGGCGGCGGCAGCGGGGCCGGCGGCGGCCGGGGAGCGCGGCTTAGGCTCTGCCGGCCGGTGGGGGCGCGGGCGGCGCCGCCATGAACGCCGCGGTGGTGAAGCGGACGCAGGAGGCCCTGGGGAAGGTGATCCGGAGGCCTCCGCTGACGGAGAAGCTGCTGAGCAAGCCCCCGTTCCGCTACCTGCACGACATCATCACGGAGGTGGGCGCCGTGCCGGAGGCCGGGTGCGGGCCGAGGGCCAGCGACCCGGGTGGGGGTCGGGACCCAGGTGCGGGCCGGGGGCCGCGGTGCGGGCCAAGGGTCGGGGCCCCGGGTGGCGGTCAGGGCCGGGAGTCAGGGCACAGGTGCGGGCCGGAGTCGAGGCCCCAGGTGTGGGTCAGGGCCGGGGGGGCGGGGGGAGGGCCAAGGGTCGGGGTCCTGGTGTGGGTCGGGCCCCGGGTGAGGGTCAGGGCCTAGATGCGGGGTGCGGGCTGGGGTGCGAGCCGGAGGTCGGGGCCCCAGGCGCCCTCCGGGAGTCAGGGCCCAGGTGCGGGGTGCAGGCCGGGCCGGGAACCGGGCTGGCGTTAGAATCGGACCTCCCATAGCCTAGCGCAGGCCCTGACAGAGGAGCGCCCGCTGGGCCCAATTTTGCGGTGCCTCTGTATGGAGTTCCTCGCCCTCACCCCTGCTCTTTCCTTCTCACTCCTGCTGGCCCGCCTCTTCCGGCCCCTCAGGGAGCATTCTTTCTTTCCAGACTACTCTTGTATCTGTTAGCACACTCTTCCACCCTGCCCGCCAGTCGTTCCTGGTTTTTTTTTTCCCCCCTTCAGTGCCTAGCTCGTGAAAGGTGATCAGAAATCGCTGGAGAATTACCGTATTTTTTTGCCCCCCCCCCTTGTCTCCACACTGCTCTGCATGGTGATCACGTTTTGGATGCTTAATAAATTCCCGTGGATAAATTTATTGAAGGTGGTTGTAGTGGGACCCACAGGGGAAAACTATAAAAGAGCAGGTTGGTATTGGCTGATGAAGGGCGCCTCACCTCCGTTGAGATTGGTTGTAACTTTTCCCCTGTGGATGGTGAATTACCGAATGATGGAGGCAGTACTTGTTTGTTGCCATATCCTGGGAGAGCTGAGCTGGGTAAGGTACACAGAAGGTGCACAGCACACATTCATTGTTGAAGGAGGCTGTCTAGGCTCCTGGTAACGCATCTCCATGGTGCACCTAAGAAGGGTATTCAACTCGGGAACATGGGTGTGGTCTTTGGCAGTTAGGAATCAGGTTGACCTTGCAGACTTCGGAGGGCTCTGCATATCGTTCCTCAAACTTCATTTCTTTACTCTTTCCAACAGGTTGGGTGTATTATTCTCCACAAGCTTTGCTTTATCATTTGCTGTCTCAACTTAGTTTATAACGTGTGCCTCTGTGTTGAAAACCCTAATTGTGCCTAGAACTCTTTGGAATCCCACACACACCCCTGCGCTGTCTTGTCTAGCCTCCACCTCCTCCTGTAGCTGGGGCAACGCTTCCACCTGTCTTGGACAGTATTTGGGGAAGGGACACGGCTGTGAGGAGAGCCCGGTGGGAGCTGGGCTATGTGCTGCCTTACCCATGAAGTAGGCAGGTAGCGTCCCTGAACCCAGAAGGGAAGAAGTGAGTTAGCCAGGAGGTGAGCCTGCCTGACTACAGCAGTTGTCACCATATCCTCACACTTTTATCTTCTGTGTTAGTCCTGTCTCCCCACTGAAATGGAGAGCCTGGGAGGAGGTAGCGGGGATAGGCCTCCTCCTGTGGGTCTTGGTGTGGCACGGGGCTCCTGGAAGGTCAGAGTGCCTCAGAGTGGGGAAGGAGGAGGGACATTCAAGCAGGAATTGACTTGGTGGACCAGTAGCCAGGCTGCGTGGAAGCGGTTACATGTTCCCAATCAGGAACCAGTGGTTTTTTCCTAATCTAATGCTGAAATTAATTTCTCTGCCTGTGTAAAGGTAAATATATTAATTGTCACCTACTTGTTAAGGGTATTAGAATGATTGGCATATTGGAAAGCATTTTCAGGTAAGAGGTGAAGAGCCTCCTGAAAATTCTTAACTCTCTTTGAGTATTGTTTTCACAAGTCACCATATTAGTAATTTAGTTACAGCTAAACTAACTCGTCTCTTTTCATAAATCAAAGCATTGATCTTATAAGGTTAATGTTTCTTGTCCCTTAAAAGTATTGTTCACAATTTTAACTGCCAGCAAAGTAGGAAAACCCCAGAAGAGACAAAATGAAAAGGCTCTAGGAATATTCAGTGCAGGATATTCTTAATATTCCATCTGTCTTCTCAGGAGAAATAATAGCACAACTCTTAGGTGGTTGACGAGGAAAGAGGGCCAGTTTAATTAGTAGTGAGGTGTGCTTGGTCTCAGAGAAATAGCCTGATGTTAGCATGGGACTGTCTTTTTTCCAACACACATGTCTTGCACTAATACATGTGCTTTATACCCATCCAGGACATACACATATAGGTGTATTCATGCTTCCTACATACAATGCAGCTGGTGTTTTCTTTTCTCTTTTTTGGAAAAAAAAAAAAAAAAAGCTCATTGCTACCCAACCCATTATGTTGATTTTACAGCGACTTCTTGCATTTTGAAAACCTCTGGTCTGAGAGAACGTGGAGCCTGGCTGTGTGTGGGTGCGGGGAGGAACAGGGAAGATCGCCACCCCTAAAGCTGATTCAGGGTAACGGGGAGCTACAGGTTGACTGAGGGGAGGGACAGGCAGGGAGAGAACAAAAGTGACAGTTGCACAGAGCACCCCCTTGTTGTAGCAAGTGAGTGAGGAGAAAGACCTTTCCATCCAGGTTCAGAAACCCAGGCTGAGAAATTCCTGTTCTTTCCAGAATCCATTCTCTCCACTGGGCTTGAGTGACCCTTGTAAGATGCTGTCCCCCTGCCTCTGAACCTTTCAGGGCCTCCTCGTGGTCCTTAGGCCAAAGTCCGTATTCCTGAGTGTCTTTGAAGGCCATCTGGGTCAGGCCCTGCCTGACTCTGGCCCCGCCGGACTCTGGCCTCAGGCTCCTCCTGCCCTGAACTTTTTTTGCTCCCTGAACAGGACCCTCTGGGCCCAGGACCTTTTGCAGGGATGGTTTAGCCTGGGACATGGGTCCTAAACACCCCCTCCCCCCACTCAGCCTGTGGCCTCGGTGTAGATATCATGTCTTCTGGGACACTTCCTCTGACACCCTCGCCCCTCCTGTGTTTGGTTTAGGGACTGATCCGTGCTCCCTTAGCACCCCGCAAGTCTTTGAGATGTTTACCCGTCTGCACTTCCAGGCTGGCTTCTGCCTGGTAAAAGGCCTCCCGTATAGTAGACACTCAAAAGCTTGTTGAGTAAATGAAGGAATTAAATCCTGGATATGGACGGACTCCGATAGCTCCTGACAGAGTGGGGTTCAGGGGCTGAGGGTGATGAAGAGGCTGCCCTGTGAGGTGCTGACCACGCCCTTGATCTTTTGAAGGTGATTAGGATGACCGGTTTCATGAAGGGTCTCTACACAGACGCTGAGCTGAAGTCCGATAATGTTAAGGTAGGCCTGGGGCGGGGGGGTGCTGCCCCTCACCCTAACAAGTGGGTTTTCTGTAAGCTGTGAACTGGATGTGTGTTGTTTATATGCTGATGCGTGTTGAAATACAAGGTTGATTAATTCGTGAATTGTGGTATACCCTTTCTCATTTCATTTTCTTATTTTTGCCAACTGCATATCATGCTAATTTTATCCACTGAGAAATGGAACTAGTGTTTTAAAGGTTCCTGCTAGCCTACTACCAGCTAAAATTAAAAGCTTTAATTAATTGTTTTTCCTTTGTTACAAAGAGTTAGTATTTCCAAATCTGACATGATATAAATAGTAACTGTGCCTGTTGAGCATACCGAGGATGGTGGAAACTTTTTTGGAAGTACTTTTTATTTGTATTTTAAATGGAAATCTTTCAGGATAAAGATGCAAAAATTAGCTTCCTTCAGAAGGCCATAGACGTGGTGGTGATGGTTTCAGGAGAGCCACTGTCCGCAAAACCAGCGCGGATCGTGGCAGGGCACGAGCCTGAAAGAACAAACGAGCTGCTCCAGAGAATTGGAAAATGCTGTCTCAGCAAGGTAATGCAGAGGTGCCAGAGTTTAGACCCAGCAGTCCTGAAAGACAAGACGGGATGGTAGGCGACCGCAGGGTAGTGGGCAGTGTCTCAGGAAGGAGTGTTTGGTGGTGTCTGCCAAGCGCTGTGCTTTGGAGCCTCAGAGTTCCAGAAGGGGTGATTAAAACTATACAGTAAAACAAAGGTACGCCACGCACAAGTTCTTCAAGCGCTAAGTATGAACAAGGGAACTTCACAGACACTGGCTCTTGGGGCAGGGGCAGCGGGCAGCATGCCCGGCAGCCAAGCCCTGCCTGCCTTCTCCTTTTGGGCCTCCTTCCAGGGCAGGGTCTGGGGGCTGGAGGACCTGCTGTGCTGCTTCTTCGGGGCTTATGGGATGCTCCTGTTCTCTTCCTGCCTTTCCAGCCTCCAGTGTCTGCTGCTTTCCTTCCATTCCTTCCTTCCACTCTCCTCCCTCCCCCCTGCACTCTGTTCTTCTGGTCCCTCTTTCCCTCCTGGCTATTGACAGCAGAGCTGTGCCTCCTTTAAAGCAATCCTGAATCTCTTGTATAGGGACTGATTCGCTGCTTCCTGAGATCTTCACTGTGGGTTGGAAACTTGGCATCTCTGCTCAGATCCAGCCTGGGCTGTCCTCACTAGGGACGCCGGAGGACATCTAGGTTTGGCGGTGCCAGCAGGGCGTCTCCAGGGCCTTTCTTTTTTGTGAGAGCCGCATCGCCCCTGAGGGCAGAGGGCATAGCTAATACAGCCCTTCGTGTGCCTGTTGGGTTGTGGGCTGGGGCTAACCTTCCGTGTTACCAAAATGGGAAAGAGGGTGGGTTTCAGCCCACATGGCAGGGGTGGGGGTGGGAGGTGGTGGCTCCAAGGAGGCCTCGAGAGAGCCTTGCCCTGGTCTGCGTCCAGATCTCAGGCTCGGAGGCACGCAGCTGATTTTGCCAGTGCCCTGGCTTCCGTACCCAGTCCCCACCCCTGCATCCTTCCTGTTACTGCTCTTTCAAAACACATTTGACTCCTGTCTTCCCTGCTGAATCCTTTGCCAGCTTCCTGTTGCCTCTGGGCCCAGCCAGCTCTGTGGCATGGCTCACAAGCATCCTCAAGAGCTGTGGCTACGCCCTCCCCTCCAGTTCTTTCTTAGCTCCTGCACCCGTGCCTGCACCCTGAGGCCCCTTGCAGTGGTCAGGCCCCCTCATTGTCTGGCAGCAGTGGGGGATCAGTTGCTGGTCCGGGAGCCCTGGCCTCTCCTCTCTCCCAGGCTGGCTTAGGCACACTGATGTTTAACTGCTGCATCTGGCCTCTCCCCCGATACACAGGGTGTCCTCAGCCTGGCTGTCTAGTGCCTGGCGAGTGATGGTCACTCGGTGCGTCCTCGTGGGATGAGTGTGTGAGCGCGTGGGATTCCTGCCTGGAGGTGTTCGAAGCTTCTGCGCGGAGTCAGGGATGCTGTGGGAGGGTTTTGGCGTGTGACGGAGCTTGAGTTAGATCATTCTGTGAGGCCCCGTCAGTGCCGGGCCTCTGACCCTGGGAGAGGCGTAAGGCATCTGTGGGGTTGCGCACAGCGCTGTGCTGTCCCAGAACGACACACACGTCCACACTCGAGGGCTCGGGGGGATTGAAGTGCGATTCGCTGCGCTAGGGTTGGCTCTGCTGCTCACGTGTGAAGTGTCGGAGGGATGCTGTACTTGGTGATGACAGCAGTTCCTGCTAATATTTTATCCTTTGACTTTCACGTCCACGTGTTTAACGTGTTCCGTGAACCGTCTGTGAATGCAGACGCTCGCATTTGTCACTTGTGCCCATCTCATTTTCACTGTGTGTTTCCTTTCCTCCCATTCGGCCCTCAAGCTCTCCAGCGACGAGGCGGTGAAGAGAGTGTTAGCTGGAGAGAAGGGGGACCCGAAGGGAAGGACCTCACTGACGTCAAAAGCTCGGGAATTGGACAATAAGAATGCACGAGAAGAAGAGCCCAGAGTTCATAAAGATAAAGAGGTGACTTGCAAGTTGCACATATTCAAAAATGAAATAATGAGTCTTTTTATAGTTCAGGTGAAGACATTTGTGAGTGATATTGTTGTTTGACCTTCTTTCCAGGATAAAAGGAACTCTGAAATAAACGAGAGAAGTACAAGCAGAGATCAAAAACAGAAAGAAGTGAGGGAAGAAAGCAAAGCGAAGGAGAAGACGAAGAACGACCGTGACAGACATAAAGACCCTGAGCGGGACAAGCACCGGGAGGGGGAGAGAGAGCGAGCCAGAAACCGGGCCAAGCAGGGCAGAGACCGAGGCGACAGGGACCTGGACCGCGCGGGAGAGAAGAGGAACGAGGGCGGAAAGGAGGAAGAGCGGGGGAAAGGGCGGGACAAGGCCCAGGACAGGGACAGGCGGCGGGTGGAGGACGGGGAGCGCTCCAGAGACCCCGGCAGCGAGAAGAGCAGGGGGCACGACAGACCCGACAGAAAGGTAAGGTGCTGCTTGAAGACCTCTGTCTCTGAGAAGAGTTTGTGGTGTTCTCGGAGGTGTTTCCCGTCTTTGTCACAGCGTGATTGGGACCCTGCTGCTCTCCGGCACCGCGGTGAAGTGAAGCCGCCCGGGCGTGCCAGCAGAAACCCAAACCGACCCCAGTTTGTGCTGGGGTTCCGAGGTGCACCGCCCTCGCCTCGGGCTGCGTGTGCGCGTTTGGGTGTGTTCTGAGGACGGGGGCCCCTTCCGTAGCCGCGTGAGGGGTCCTTCCGAGCCGCCTCGGTCGTGTGCATGCTCCTGGGCACGGCTGAATTTACCAAGGCCCAGGGCTCCTCTCTCAGTCTCGTGGGCGTCAGCAGATACAAGGCTTCCGTTACTGTAATTTTTGTTTAATTAAATTTTCAGGTAAATTTATGATTGGCCAGAAAATGTGTTTGGTTTGTGTTTTCTAAATGTGCAAGTTACTTTTGGGGTCACTGTAGATAGTTCAGGTCTCCATCAGGGCTGGCGCCGCTCACGCCTGTTCTCGTGGGGACAGCATATTATGAAGTGTCTCCGGAAGGCTGTGGAAATCTCTTGGTCTCCAGCTGCTAGGAAGGAGGGAGCGGAGGTCTGGAAAGGTTCAAGATCTGCCCACGTGATGCAGCAGCCTGGTAAGGGGCGAGGCCTGCCCTGGCACTCGTGGCTCGTGCACCTGGCTCTGGGGCATTGTGTCTCAGTGTGTGACAATATCAGGGGCTGAGGGGCCACGGGACTGACCCTTAGAGAGCCTCGTGGTCTCCCATGAATGCCCTAGAGTAATGGACCCTGTGAGACAGGTCACGAAAACCAGGCTTCCCTTAGGAGTTTTAGGAATAACAAAGGCGTTCCCCATCTTTTGTCTCTTTGTAGAGGTCTAAGAAAAAGCGTTTCTCACCAACCTGAATTGTCTGAGGCACTAGTGTGCTCTCGTGTATTTTCCTGGTGTGAGGCAGCCGCCGAGTGGGATGGCCTCAGCCCTCCAGGTTTTCAGACGAAGTTTCCCGTGCATTACGTTCACTAAAATTGCTGATGTTGTGAGGACTGTCTTTAATAGAAAGCTAATTCCAAAGAGAAGTTTTTATGGGGGGGGGTCTGTGGGATTCTGGAGCCTAGCGGCAGTGACGGCTTGGCTTCCAGTGTCTGAGGCCAGGGCGCAGGGCCTGTGCCTCTGCTCAGAGCTGGTCCGCGTTCCCCCGAAGTCGGCTTTGCGTAGATCTTTTGTGGTGGTTTTGCTGGGTCAGCTCTTCTGTGGGGTGGCAGCTGGGGGGCAGCGCTTGCCAGTGGCAAGGACACCCCAAGTGGGCCACCTCCCAAGGAGGCTCTGGGGAGGCAGAGATTCCCTTCTAATCCGCCTCTGCTGGTCTTCACCCTGAGATCCCTTGATTCTCCTCCATTCGATTCCCATCTGGAAGAGACGATGCTGGGACCTTCTCAACCCCTCTCAGGCTGTGTATGAAGAGAAGGTGAAGTAGTAGGTGTGTGCAGAGTGTCAGGTGTGGCAGTAAAGGACCAGGTATCCGGACAGTGTGTGCGGTGCCCCTCACCCTTAAGGGGATGGCGGGGTAGGCTGTGCACAGCCTGGCGCCTCCAGCAGAAGTTAGGGCAACGCATCAGTGTTGAACTTGACAGTCATCCCTTGCTTTTCAGTTTTCATGGGGCACAGGGTCTGAGGTCTAGTCTCTTCTAGTCCTTACGTTAGGACGTGTCGGTCAGAGACTTGACTGTAGCTATGAGCTGGGGCTCCCGGGTTTCCTGTACTTCCTTTCAGGAGTATCCCCCCTTTTTTTTTAACACCTCAAAATTTATTTATTTATTTTTTAAATGTTTCTATTAACAAATAATGTATTATTTGTTTCAGGGGTACAGGTCTGTGATTCATCAGTCTTACACAATTCACAGTGCTCACCATAGCACATACCCTCCCCAATGTCCATCACCCAGCCACCCCATCTCTCCCACCCCCCACCACTCCAGCAACACTCAATTTGTTTCCTGAGATTAAGAGTCTATGGTTTGTCGTCTTCTCTGGTTTCGTCTTGTTTCATTTTTCCCTCCCTTCCCCTATGATTCTCTGTCTTGTTTCTCAAATTCCATGTATCAGTTAGATCATATGATACTTGTTTTTCTCTGATTGACTTATTTCGCTCAGCATAATATTCTCTAGTTCCATCCACGTCGTTGCAAATGGCAAGATTTCATTCTTTTTAATGGCTGAGTAATATCCCATTGTGTGTGTGTGTGTGTGTGTGTGTGTATGTATGTATATATATATACACCACATCTTCTTTATCCATTCATCTGTTGATGGACATCTAGGCTCTTTGCACAGGTTGGCTATTGTGGACATTGCTGCTATAAACATTGGGGTGCACGCACCCCTTCGGATCCCTACATTTGTATCTTTGGGGTAAATACCCAGTAGTGCAATTGCTGGATCGTAGGGTAGCTCTATTTTCAACTTTTTGAGGAACCTCCATACTGTTTTCCAGAGTGGCTGCGCCAGCTTGCATTCCCACCAACAGTGTGGGAGCGTTCCCCTTTCTCTGCACCCTCGGGAGTATTTCCTGATGGAGAGTCTGAAGCTTTTGCTTGACGAGAACCCTCCATTGGAGAGTGCCCCCCACCCTCCTGGCCCAGAATGAGCAGGGGCCATGTTTCCATGGGGCTGGTAGTTTCTCCTGTTCACTCCTTCCCACATTTTCCGATTCCCCATGTTTAACTGGGCGTTTCCAAGAGGTTTGGCCTTGGGTGGGCATCCCACGTGTCCCACTGTTCCATAGCTTCCTGGGAGGCGCCGCCCCGACCCCCTGTGCCCCCGGTCTGCCCCACCAGGAATGATCCAGACGGCCCTTTGGGATGAGGGCTGCATACCAGCTGCAGATACTCAGGCCTGGAGTGGGATGGATGCTCTTAAGGGAAGGGTGATCTTGCTGCTGCTCAGCTAGAAACATCTGGCACCTTGATGTGTTTTTGGATGTAACAGATTTGAATCATTCTAGAATGTGACGATTTTTTTTCTTAACAGTCCTCAAGCTCAGGGGAGGTGTCTAAAAAGCTGCCAGATGGATCTTTGAAAGATTCCAAAGCTGAAACAGAGGTAAACTTTAAAAAATAATTTCAAGGGACATAAACTGTGGCTGTGTTGACGTGGCGACTGCCATGCTGTGGTCTCTTCTAGTCTGTGGAGACCCGGGGGTGGGGACGTGGCTCAGGCTCACGCGTGAGCCCCGGCTTCTGTGCTGGGCTCCGGGCTTTCCTCATACACTTGTTTGACAGGTATGACGTATGGGGTACAAAGGGATGGGGGAGTCATTTGGGAGAGGGTCTGGTGGAGCTTCAGATGAGTCTGGGAGAAGATCCAGTCACCAGGCAGACTGGGACAGCTGAGGTGCTGGAGGGATCCCTCTGAGCTCTGCTCGGCCTGTGTGGGGCCCCGTGGTGTGTGTCCTGTGGCTGGGGCGCAGCTGAGGCTGGGCCACATCATCTCCCTGTCTCCAGGCCGTGGAGGTTAGACTCAGCCCAACTTTCCTAAAGCACTTTGCATTTTAGAGAATGTGTCCAGGCAGCTGCAGGGAAGACGGACCAGGTGCGGTGTGGAGGCTGAGAGGCCAGTTAGGAGGGCATTATGGCAGGCTGAGCAAAACCTTGTGGCTGGTGTGTGCTCTGTTTAAACATGTGTATGTTTGCACTCGGAATTGTCACAGATGCATGCGAGGAATTAGCATATAGCAAGGGAGATGGAGTTCTCATAAACACATCTGATAAGACCGTGCTTCTCAGTGTGGTTGGTGGATTGCTGGGCTTTGGAGAGCTTTGCAGAAAGACGGATTTCCGAATTTAGAGTGAAGGAGGTCTGAGTGTCCTCTGTTCACCCTCAGGCCTGGGGTGCTGAGCTGTGCTCAGCTGGAATCCATTCCTCTTTAGCAGAGGGTGGTGTTCTCTTTCCTCTTTGTTCTTCCTTGAGCAGAGCTTGACTAGTAAATCTACTCAAGGCACTGCTGTGTCATGCATCAACTAATTCTTTTCCATTCTCTTTTCTTTAAGACTGAGATTTCCACTAGAGCATCCAGGTCAGTGACAACAAAAGCATCAAAACGGCGATCCAAAAATTCAATGGAAGGTACTGCAAATTTATCATATAAGGAGCTGAAAATATGGGTATTAATCACAGTATCTGGTAGAAAACATATCCTGTGGCTAGAAGGCAGATCTGCCATTGGGGGGGATAAACAAAGACTATGTGAAAAGGATGAAGATATGTCTCTCTCTCTCTCTCTCACTCACACACACACATGCATGCACACATGCACGCACACATCTGCGTGTACGTGTGTGAGCCCGTGACACCAGCGGCTGGTAGTAGCACCTCTTTGCTGGAGATCTGTTGCTATCTAAAAGATGTGATCGAATTTTAATTTTCCAGAAATGGTTATCAGTCACCCATGTTTCATTGACTCTTGTCATATAAAGTGGTAGGCTGAAAGTAATCCTGACTCGGTGGCCAGCAAGAGCATCCTGCTCATGGGTGATGTTCATGCATTTAAAAAACAGCAGGACCGATCCTTGCGAGTTGTGCTACTGAGAGCTGAGGTTGAAGCGAACAGGCCTGGCCGGGGGTTTGCCCAAGGGTAGCACCGGTTCACCCCGACTGACAAGCCGGACTGGGGGGTCTGTCCAGGGCGGGCAGGTATGGCTGGGGGCCGGTAGTATTGCAGGTTTTCAGGTGAAGTGTGAGGTTACTTTGAGTGGTGGTAGCGTCTGAAACATCGTCCTTTTCCTAAATGGTAAGAGTTAGAGCAGTATGGCAGGAGTGCCGCAGTTGGGATTTCTCATTTGGACGTTACACTGAGACAGAAAGCCCCACTTCAGAATAGTACGTGAGGCTTTCATGAGCTTGTCCCTCTGTGGGCGTCTCTGGGGACAGGATGTTGGCAGTGTCGGCTGCAGGGTGTGCTGACCGTGCCCCCAGCCCTACACCTTTTCCACGGTGTCCAAGGCTTGCTGCTGAGTCTGGGAGGGGAAAAACGAAGAGTGCTATCTCTTTTGAATTGCTAGTGAAATTGTGCATTTTTATGTGTGTAATTTGTATTGGCTCCTCGGGCTTGTCTGTTCTTTGTGGGATCCCTCACTGCTGTGAGCCGTTTCAGTGTTCTTAATCGGCACAAGCTCACTGTATGTTAAGGACATCCGCCAGTTTTTAAATAAGTGTTTGTTCCCCTCCCCCCCGCCCCAGTTCATTTCTGTTCATTATGTTAGTTCCTGATTTGCCTGAGTGTTTAATTTTTACGCACTGGAAATGGCCAGTCTTTTTTTTTTTGTAGTTTGTCCAGAGATTTAAGAGATGAAGATTTGTGTTTTGTCATGCGTTTTTATATTTAATCCTTTTAGTTATTTCTTATTTTAATACATGGTGTAAGGTGATGCTCTCCATTTCAGAGTAACTCACCAAGTGTTCCAGAATCATTAATTTTAAGCCTTTTTATGTGCTTACTCTTCCAGATTATTTATAAAAGCATTGAGTCAAAGAATCTCCCCCCCACAAACAGAACTAATAAATTTATCAGGATTGAGTTGGACTCATGTTAAACTTATGCTTTCGTTATTTGGGGAAGATTGGATACTTCTGATTCCAAGTTAGTATGGGAGTCTCCCTATGCATGTGCTGGGCTGTGTCTGTTAGTCACGGGTCACGACAGTTTGTTTTTAGTTTGTTTAGAGATGGCATTTTCTGTCCCTTCCGTTTCTTAGTGATGATTGTTGGAGCGTAGAAGCGCCATGAGACTGTGGTCACTGCACCGCAAACCTCACCTTGTGTTCAGTCTTAGCCCGCAGTTCTTCTGTCGAATGGTGATTTTTTGTAAGCGGACAGTTGTTATTGTCTTTTTTCCTAATAACTCGGGGCGTGTGCATCCGAGTTTGCTGGCGAGCTTGTGCCATAGGGCTCCTTTCCTGTGGCCTCTTAGAGAGAGAATTACAGAGGTTTGCAGGCTTTTTGAGACTAGCTTTCCCCAGCTGTCGATAAGCTCGTGGACTCTTTCCTTCCCTGCTGGCGAGCTGGGCGTGGACCTCACCGCATATCCTCACGCAGCGGGGCTGGTACTCCACCCTGACCTTCTGCCTTACGGAAATGGGCCACATTTGGGCGAATGTCCAGCATTCAGAAGGTGTAGGAGGCACAGGACCTCCATGTTCTGCCCGAGGGGAGAAGCCTTGCATTTATTAGAGTGCGGGGTGTCATGTTTGTTAAACATATTTAGAATCTTAAAGCTATTCTAGAATCTCTATAGAATCCAAAAAAGTTTCTTCATAAGAATATGATACTTTTGGCTTATTATTAAGTAGCACATTATAGCAGAAAAATGTACTATGAGTGAGTATACTATGCAGCATTACAAATTAAGCTTAATACAAACTTTCGTTATGCAATTTCGTATCAGGAAGAAGGGACTCTAGAACCAGTGAAAATAGTCTTTCCCCTGAAAAAGAACATAACTCTTCCTACAGTAAAGCTAAGAAGGAGCATGCCGTGAAACAGCTCGGTAAGGCGATGCAGGCCCCAGTGGAGGCCGCGAATGTCGGGGAGTCGGAACCTTTGCTTCCCTTTGACCACCGAGCTGGTGGAGCCCTGTGGGTGGAGCCCTGCTGGACATGGTCCCTGGGCCCAGAGCGGAGCAGGGGCAGAAGGGCACGTAAGCCCTGCCCACTGAGCTCTGGGGCCACCCCAGCCACCTGCCCATTTCCTACCACAAGTCAGTCACGGGCTGGGATTGTCCCCTTGAGTCTTCCTTTATTTGTTCTGCAGATATTTATGGCGTACCTGCCCTTCTGGGGCACATAATGTGGAGGGACAAGTCAGATAATCGAGACCACAGGGTGCACACTTCCATGTTAGCGATGAGTCTTCTGATGGAAAAAGTAGCCGAGAGGGGTGGGGATGTAGGGGCGGGTGCACAGGCAGAGGGGCTCTGAGGAGGGGACGTCTGGACAGGGAGTTGACTAGGGTGAAGGAGGACACGCAGGTGTCCAGGAATGGGCAGAGGCCCTGAGCTGGGGACAGGCTTGCCTGTTTGAGTGGCAGGAGGCGCAGCAGTGAGGCTGGGCGGGGGGCGAAGGGATAGGAGAGGCTGCACGAACAGGCAGAGGCCCGAGGTGTGGGGCCACGGAGGCCGAGAGTTTAGTGAGTGTGAGCAGAAGTCCTTGGAGGACAGTAAGCAGGACAGAGGCGTGATTTGACAGGTGTTAGAAGCATCCCCTGTTCAGAGTACGGAGAGGCAAGCAAGTATAGAGGCTGGACAGCAGTTCATGTCCAGTTGAGACTGACGGCCGGGACCCGAGTGTCACTGGTGAGGATGTGTTTGATGGAAGGGACGACAGAGTCGCTGGGTGACTGGGTGGCCCTTGTTAGGAGAGGGCACAGCGAGAAGATCCGTGGAGGAGTCTGGGCAGCCACGTGGTGCTGTTGCTGGAGTGCGAAGGCTTTGGGAGAAGCCAGTTGCTGGGATGGGGGACAGCGCCACGCATTCAGTTTCCCACAGGTGGGGTTGAGGTGCCCGCGGTGCAGCCCAATGTGTGTGTCAGGACAAGAGCAGAGTGGGAGGCCTGCCATTCAGGGAGGGAGTTGGGGCAACTGAAGGTGAAATCAAAGAAGTTGGGGTTTTTTACATGGTGGTCTTTCCTGCCGTCACGTGAAGATCCAGGTGAAATTGGTATAGGGGAGTGTGGAGATAAAGATGGTGAACCCCAGAGCCGGCCAGGACCCACGGGGTCCTGCTCGGAGAGCCCTGGGAGGGAGGAGCGGTGGGGGGGGGGGCCTCCTGTGAGCCTGGTATAAACCCCTGTTTGTCCCGACCAGAGCACCCACATACAAAAACTTCTACAGTGTTTTAATCTGTTGTTAACCATTTTATGTCAGGAAGAAAGGAAGATACTATTTCAGCTAAAATGTTAGATCCCATAGTGTCTGGATTAAATCATGAAGCAGATCAGGAAACTGCAACTTCAGAAATCGGTAAGAAAAAGGTATTCTTTAGTTTACATTCCTCACCACCTTGATATGAAATATTTACCTCTCAGCATAGTTATATATTTTATTCTAACCAAGAGATAAGATCAGAAATGACTTATATGCCACTTGCTCTAATTTGCTAAATTATATGATAAAGAATATTAACTCAGTTTTAGTTAACTTTTACATGCCTTTCTATGTGTAACTTACTTTCGCATCTAGATCAAGATGCTTTCTTTATCTTGCTGTTGGATTTCTGCAAAATGATGTGGGTGGTCAGAGAAATGGTCGTTCAGCTCTCCCATCCTGCTCTGCTGTGTTGTATTAAGAAAATGCCCCATAATAAAGATTTTAAGGATTTTAACATCTTTGTATGTGAGGGAGTGCTTTCCCTTTAAGAAGTTGAGCTCGAGAGCAGCTGTGTTTGTGGGCTGCTGCTGCATCCTTGGCTCAGCAGGGGCACAGCGTAAAAGGCGGGCCTCTTAAAAGGGGGGCCTCTTAAAAGGCGGTCTTGACTGATCTTACTCCAAGCAGGTCAGCCTTCCGTGGTTTATCTAGTTCCTCAGCGGTGTGGGGTGACCCACTGGGAGGTGCTGAAGGGGAGCAGGGTGGGTTCTCACTGAGGAACACTTCACCGCGGGCTTGCACGGTGCAGTTCACCCACATCTTGTGAGAGTGTACGTGTTTTCTCCCTGCGGAAGCCTCTCCCAGCTGTGGGCCGGTCCAGCCCGGTCTGAGCAGGGAAGCACCAGGCAGTCCCTGTGCGGCAGCAGAGGGCCTGGGTCGTGCTGCCCGTGTGGGCAGATCTGCCTGCAGCCCAGACCAGTGGGAAGATCCCGTTCCTCCCGTTTGCCCGCCTCTTGGCCTTGAGCTAGCTTCATGGGTACGTTCTCTGAGCCACAGTGACCTCGTGGTAGGTGGGTCTAAAAACACCTGCCTTGAGACTCAGTGAGATCTGTCCATAAAGTGGCTGGTATGTCCCATGTGTGCCTACTGGATCTGCTTTGTAGATCCCACTTTAGTGACCGTGAGCCCTACGTCAGGTGAGGCATGTCATCCTGAGATGGTAACATGGATTTAAAATAAAGTGCAGTGGTTATTCAGACATGCATCCTCACTTTGTAGACACTAGATACAGCTCAGTGTCCAGGGAGCGGGAACCCTGCAACACCCGTGGTTCTCAGTGGGGAGCTTGGCAGACAATCGAGCAGAGCCTGGTGCCACCTAGTGGCCAGAGAGGGGTCCTGCACCCTGTCCTGGGGTGGGCCTGTGACCCTTGGCGCCTCCTCCCCTCCCCCTAACATTGCATGGGTCCTGGGCCCCTGTTGTCACTGTCATGCCAGTCACAGATGTCACCTTGTGCTGCCAGCCATTTGACTTCTGGGATTTTCTCGTTGAGTGTGATTTCCAGACCCAGTGCCTGGGTCGGTCAGGGAGCCTTTCCTCGCGCTTGCCCTTCACCTTGAGCTGGTGCTTGTAAGCTGTGTTGTGCCCCTGATGTGCCTGCAGACCTGGGCCCTGGCCAGCCTCTGCCTGATGGCGGCCGTGTGCTTTGTCTTTCAGGGACGCTGAAGAGCTCAACAGTGAAATTACCCACTTCTTTCTCAAACACGAACCATTTCTTCCCTGCCCCCTCAGAATGCCTGCTGTGTGATGATCCTCGTTCTCTTCACAGTTGTTTGACGGTCCGGGTTCTCCTGGAACCCTGTGCCTCCATGTGTCTTCACCTTGCTTGGGTTCCATCACTCATGTCTGTTTTATCGTGTAAAGTTTTTTATTACGAAAAATGCAGAGAAGTAGGAAGAGTGATGAGCACCCTTTGACCTCTCACAGAGATTCAGTGGTTCTAATGTTTCGTCATATGTGCTTCATCTAGAGCCATGTATTTTTATGAATGATTTCAAAGTGTATTAAAACACCGTAACACTTTAGGGGCGCCTGGGTGGCTCAGTTGTTAAGCGTCTGCCTTCGGCTCAGGTCATGGTCCCAGGGTCCTGGGATCAAGTCCCACATCAGGCTCCCTGCTCCGCGGGAGGCCTGCTTCTCCCTCCCCCACTCCCCCTGCTTGTGTTCCCTCTCTCGCTGTGTCTCTCTCTGTCAAATGAATGAATAAAGTCTTTTAAAAAAAACAAAAACAAAAAACACCGTAACACTTTAAATACTTCAGCCTGCAGCTCAAAAAACAAAGAAGACATGCTCAGACACAGCCACGTCACTGTTGTCTCTAGCAGGGTTGCCGTTGCCCAATAGTATTGAAATCTTAGTGACTCAAAAGTGTTATTTTTCAAAACCAGGATTCCATTAAGATGAACACACTGTATATTTTTTATTCTTTTTTTGTCTTTTTAAATGACTCGAATCTCAACAGCCCCCCCACCCTCTGTGCGCCCTCTGTGCGCCCACTTTGCCCTTTTAGTCTCGCACACTGGCTTTGGAAGAGATGAGGTTGCTTGTCTTGTAGAATGTTCCACTCTCTGGACACGTCCATTTCCTTGTGATGTCGCTTCACTTATGACATTCCTCTCTCCCCCGCTTCTCACCATGTTTCTGTTTGATCTAAAGGCCTCATTAGATTTGGGTTGGAACATCTGGCTCGCTCTGACCCCTACATAGGCAAAGCTGTGCCTTTATCTTGTGTCCTATCTGGATACACTAGTGTTTTGCGTCCCATAACAGGTTGCTGAGACTGATCGCTGGGCCAGGTGGAGCCCCTCATTTTAAGGCCTGGTTATTCGTTCGCATTTACACTTGGATGTAGTTAGCACCTCTGTGCTACTAAAATTTGCACAGCACACGGGCATAGTGGGAAGCTGCTTGCGGCTGTGTTGTGGGCTGTACCTGGTGAGTTTCAGGGATGGTAACTGACAGAGGGGCACTTGGCCAGGCACAGCGCTCCCTGCTTTATAAAGCACAGGATCTCATTACAATAGCACCATAAGCTGGGGGCAAACTGGCTCCGAAGAGGCGAGGAGCCTGCTCAAGGTGCGGCACTTGGGGGCACTGGAACTTAGGAAATCAGAACGCCAAGGCCCGTATCCTTACCTGCCAGGTTCATTCATTACCGATAATTCAGACAACAGATTTTTTTGCCAGTTCATAATAATTTTTATTTTTTATGGGTGTATTATTTATTTTCTTTAAAGCTGTTTTTTGGCAGACTGGTTAGTCCTCTATGATTAAGAATTGATTGTATATTATTAGAATTACTATTAGTATTATTATTATAGTATGTATTATTACTAGTATTATTAGTTATAGCCTGTTTTTCTGTTGTGCTTGTGTGTATCAGAGTTGTAGTAAACTTTAAGAATATTAGGAAAGATGTTAAAACAACCATCATAGGCCTCTCCCCCAAAAAAAAAAAAAAAGAATGTCACTAGACGTTTGAAGACAGGAAATGGTGCAGAGTGTCATCAGTCCCCTCCAGCTTTGGACAGAAGGTGTTGCATTTGGAAGTTACTTATTGCGCTGGTAGGTTTTGAACAGTGTAGGAAATTTTTGACATTTTCAAATAAAATGTAACAATCTAAAATTCTTGCATGTTTTCTTTTAAAATCGATAATCTACAGTTGCCAAGCTTATTTTATTTTTACATTTGTTTTAGAATTTAGTATTTCATATTGATTCTTTGGCTACCTTAGATATCATAAATAATTACTTGAATCAGGCTGTTTAAATTATCATTTTTATAGATTAAAAAAATTTCCTTAGAAAATTATGTCATCTACTGTATGAAGTTCATTACATAAATTCAGTTCTTTGATGGTTAATGGTAGGTTGATTGTGATATAAACTGTTTATTTGAATGCTTTTAAGAAATTATAAGATTGTATTTCAGGAAAGGGGACATTTTTCTAACTTTATTTTTGTCTCCTGGTTTCATTTTTGAGTGGGGGTCCTTTAGTGATGGGTTAGTTTTCTACCCTGAGTCCTACCACATTAAAAATCTTTTTCTCCAGCACCTCCTTGCTCCCCCCTTATTTTTAATATAAAAAATGTTTTATTTCTCGGGTATTAGATATTTTTTCTGTTTTTATAGACATTGGCCCATTAGTCAGTAGTTCCACGAGGGTTCGGGAGCTTTCAATATGTCTAGGATTATGGACTATGCCAGAGATATTTTTCTTTTCCTCCTGCTTTGCTGAAATTGTCACCTATCTGCAGCTTCTCAGCTGGGCCTGGCTGCAGTGGGGAGGTGGGTAGAGACAGGTAGTGTCAGGAAGGTTCTGGAAATGGGGGTGCAGGGGCCAGTTTGCTTTGGCTGTGGGGACCCCAACCTCCTCCTGGGCTGAGTGAGCATGGGGCCTTCTCATATTCTGGGCACCCCTTCCCTCTCCTGATCCCACAGCCGCAGCTGGGAGGAACATTCTTGGTGTGAGTTCTCAAAAGCTGCCTTTGGTCAGTCTTCTGTAAGCTCGCAGTGTGGGAGAGCGTGGATGAGTGTGTGTGCTCTCTGTTAATGAAGCCACAGAGGACCAGCCTGCCGTGTACATCATAATGACTCATTTTAAACTGTTTTCTGTCAGGAACAAAAGAAGCTAATACTAACTCAGCTAGTGTTTCAGATGAGAATTCCGCTAGTCTGTGGCGTGAGAACGTTGAGCCAGAACCAGCAGTGAAGCAGAAAGGTAAGGACACCCTCTCTTCACTCCTTTCCTGGTGAGGGAGCCTGAGCTGCTCCACGCACGCACTGGGGGCACCTCTCTCCCCAGAGGGTGGCGGCCAGAGCCGCAGGGTCCCCTCGGCTCTTTGACGCACACGGGGTCCAGTCCCTGGTTCTTCACACCAACAGGACCGGCTGTGGTGAAGGACCCCTTTTTGCCCTTTTACATCAGCTAGGGTAGGGCACGCTGTCCTTGTGTGGCGGCACCGGCCTCTCCCGGGTCCCCAGCGCTCTTTCGGAGGTAACGTGCGGAGCCCAGGTGGCGTTGGAAGGCCCAGAAACCAGCTTCAGAGTCAGTGCTGGGGAGTCCTGCGGGCCGAGCTGCAACCACTCAGATTTCACCCAGATTTCATGTTCAAAGGGGACTTTGAAGCAGCTTGAAACACCGTACCGACCCGGTGTTTCTATCTGTCATGTTTTCTGGGTGTCTGAAGTTGTGCCTCGGTGAGATTCTGCTTTTGGCCTAATATTTTCAGCACTTACACTGTGGTGAAGGACACATTTGGCATTTGTCGGGGCCTGGAGCTCCTCGCAGGCTTGGCGGGGTGCCGGCGCCCCAGAGCCAGCGCTTGTGGGGAGGGCTGGTGCTTGTCAGTGTGTGTGCACTGAAATGTTTGCCGACGGCCTGCCGTGTGCAGTGAGTGCCCCAGTGAGCAGAGCCAGCCTGGAGGACGCCCTTTGCGGTGGTCTGGGCAGCCAGGGACTTAGCCCCGGGGTGGGGTTGGAGAGAGCCTTCAGGCGGGGAGCGGGGGGGTGGAGGGGGCCAGCCCCTGCGGGAGGCCTGTGCTACTATTGGCGTGAGCAGCTTGGTCACGTGTGGGTCACGTCAGTTTGGGAGGCTTAGTGAGTGGTCCAGGAGAGAGTGGCCAGAGAGAGTGGCCTGGGCTGGAGTGGGCGGTGGGGGGACGGGCAGGTCCCAGGGTGCTTCAGGCAAGGGCTGTACCAGAGATGGCATGTGAGTGGCCAGGGGTCTGGTTGCCAGGGCGAGGCAAAGAGGCTGAGCTGGTGAAGGGTCCAGAGAAGACCTGAGTGTCTGTGAGGCAGGAGCCTCCGCCAAAGGGTGGGAGACCCCATCTGTGAAGGGGGGGCCTGCTGTGTGCACTGTCCATCTGGGTGTCGGCCTTGAGATCCAGCAGCTGCACATGAACCCGCAGTCTGTCCCCAACACTGATGGTGTGAGACTGGAGGAGAGCCCAGGGGTCTGGAATCCAGGGCCCCAGGCTGCACAGCGGCTGCCACCGGCTGGGCTCTGCCAAGTGCACTCCAGGTGGCATGGCGTGAAGGAGAGGCTCTGCTGCCCAGGGTCGGGCCCAAGCCCCCACTGCTGTCACCCCATCCTTCTAGTGGTGCTATCTAGAAACATGATTTCCAGGCCCTCCTTACCCGCAGTTTGTTGGGCTCTTTGGGAGCTGGGCCTGTCCTCTGCTCTGTGCAGTGTGACCTCTGGGAGGTTCCTGTGTTCTGTACACATAGGTCCTGTAGGGCCCCCCACTTCCCTTTGCCCAGAAGGGCCAGAGTTCTGAAGTCTGCGCTAGCAGACAGACTGAGGTGTCTGAGGAGCGCTGTGTGTCCTCAGGGTAACCTGGGCCCAGTCCTCGTGCATGTGAAAGGTCCCTGTGTGGAGGTGGGGCTGTGGTTTATGGGGGGCTGCATGGCACCTCCCGGGGGTCCTTGGCTCCGACTTGGACCCATGCTCTTTTGGCGCTTCTGCAGATGTGGTCCTGCGTTTCAGGTGCGTCAGGCAGAGCGTATCTTCTGTGACCTTGAGTCTCCCCTCCTTACAGTGCTCCCGCTCATTTCCTGGTGGCCACATAGGTCCCATTTGTCCCTAAAACGCATCACTGGAAGGAGGAGGTAGGCCCATGGGGAGCTGGAGAAATGTCCTCGTTCAGGAGCTGAGGGAAGAGCCATTGCTGACAAGCTAGGGAGGGAGGGCCCTGGTTGCTGTCACCCCGTCACGAAAAGGGCGTCACACCTTCTCGTCCCTCATGCTCCCTGGCTTATCAGTTGTTGCCTCATCTCGAATCTCTCTCATTTATGTCTGTGACCTGCTTTCTTCATACTCCCGTTGCCTCTTTTCCTTAATAGCATTTTAGAATTCATAGTGTGCTTTGTTCTTTGTCTTTTGATCTTTGAAAATAAAGTGATGGCAGTGGGACCCTAGGAAAGTCTCTGTGTTCCCTGACAGGTCCGCCGTTACTTAGTTTGTGTTTTTCCCTAGTCCTGCTACTTAATACACAGAGCTTTACCAACACAGAAGTCACTTTTCTGATGTCCTTTTTTTTTTTTTTTGCAGGCGGCTCCCCTAGTGATGCAGGTGAGGAACGGCCTGAACTAAGTATATTTGGTATAAATTGTGCGTGTGCGTGTAGACAGTAACATGTACTGTCAGATTTGTTTTACACAGTGAGTTAGTGAAGGTAATTGAAGGAAATAGAACTCTACCACTTTAAGATTTAATTTATATATCTTATGTTCCGGAAGAATGTGTTACGACTCTTCCCAGAATAAAAAGTATATTTCTAAATTCAAAGTCTGATTTTTCTAAATTACAAAGTCTGATTTCTAAAACACAAAGCCCTTTTACTTAAAAGGCAGGAGTAAATTTAATTGCCTGAATAGTTAGGGGTTGTTACTTACTGATTAAATCTTTTTATTAAAATGAAGAAAGCTTTATTCAGATTATAAAAATGATTTGATATATACCCAAAGTATAAAGTTTTTTAAATGCAGAAAAATATCAAGAAGGAAATGAAAAACACTGTTTCTAACCTAAACGAATGTCCTTCTAGAACACCCGTTGTGTATGTGTGTGTGTGTTATTAGATATGTTACGGTCCTCAGTTATGAGTTAGGACGGTGACACTGTTTTATGCAAAGGGTCTGGCGAATAACTGCCATAGTCTGCTGGCGTGACCCACCATCGTCACTAACACAAGTGGTGGTTGGTGAACAGCTTGACACACAGGATCACACGCGTCCATCCCTCTTGGGTTGTATTTCCTTTATGTTAAATTGCTTGACTGGATCAACCTACCTTTTGAATTCTATTTCTTAAGAAATTGAACCAGTTTGTATTTCCAGGGTTTGAGTGCACCCATCTCCCCAGATCTTCACCAAATCTAGATACAAAATGTGTTTTATCTTCATGAAAATGATAGATGAATAAAGCTCATATATATTTGCGATTATTTAATTGCTGTCTTTTCAAATACTTATTACCTGTTTGTGTTTCTTCCTTTGTGAATTGCTCACTGGATTATCATGGTTCAGAAGGAGAAGTGGGACCTTCTGGCCCAGAGAAGCCCGAGGTGTCTGAGAGTTCTGAGCTGCCGAGTGAGCTTCCAGCCAACATCAGGTCCGTGGGCTCCTGTCCAATGCCCAGGCCGCTGCCTGCTTCTCTCTGCACCTTCTGCAGTTTGTTTAGTGCTTGAGCTCAATTATGAGGAAATACGTGTACAAAGAAAGCAGAAACCATTTATTTAATTTTCCTATATTGGGTATAAGTTACTACATGTAGGACATTTTAACGATTTAGGGAAATTCATAATTATGGTAAATTAAGTTTTGATTACTGAGAATTCATGATTCCTTTTTGAGCCTTAAAATTAATGGAAACATAAGATTAAGAGACGGATACATTTAAACCTCTCAGATTAATGGAATGTTCTTAGCATTTTGCAGACTGTGTCCCGACTAGCATGTTGATGGTGGGAAATTAGCAGTAACATTGACCTGGGTTTTCTGTCGTGCACTTTTAGTAAATGTGCAAGTGTGTCATATCCCCTTCTTGGTTTCCCACGTTTGGGTTTAGAAGAATACCTCGGCCTGGGAGTGCGAGACCAGCACCTCCCCGGGTGAAGCACCAAGACAGTGTGGAGGCCCTGACACCAGACCGGTGAGGCCTCTGGGGGCTGTGCTGGGGTGGGGGGGTGGGGGGG